TATTAAAAAAAAAAAAGTCTCTGTCAAAATGAAACCTGCTGATCTGGTAATCACCTGCAAAAAGTGTTCAGTGTTAAAACCTGAACTTCATAACTCAAATTTGAAATGTTGCTCTCACAGATGTTTCCCTGGTCAGTAGTGTTTTCCCTGGAGCCGAAGGTTCCCGGCCAGCGCACTCCAGAGGAGCTGGTGACCAACACTTTGATGCTGGAGCTGGGTGCCATGGTGAAACGGACCGAGCGAATCCATCTGGAGAAGGCAGTAGAAAGTCGCAGACGCCGCAGCTCGTCCTCGGCAGACTACAGCTGGCTGGCTGGCCCTCAGCCGCACGTCTCCTACGAGCTCACGCCAGGAGATGTGCTGGACCTGCAGGACCTCTGCGCTCAGATCCCACCTCAACAGTGCGGGCCGGTCATTGTCAGGTAGGTATCAGGTATCAGGTTCTTTTAATATAATTGAGAAAATATTATACATTTTATTAATAGTTTCAATTAGGTTTTATTTTTACATTTACATTTATCTTTTTCATTTTAGTTAAGTTAATTTTTTGTAGTCTGTTTTTGTGACTTTTTAAAAATATATATATCTCTAAATAGTTTGTGTTAATGTTAATTTTTAGTTATTTTAGTACCCCAAGTAAAACTAAATATAAATAAGAAATGTTTCCTTGGCAACTAGCTGAACTAAAATAAGATTTAGCAATTTTTATTTCAGTTAATGCTTATTTTTATTTTAATAGAGATTCTATTACACACTCCCAGAAAAAGTTTTTACTAGTTGTTTAAATTAGTTTTTATTTTCATATTTTCCTTTTTCCTTTCAGTTTAAGTTTTAGTCATTTTTGTTGATTTTTTTTTCTTTTTATTATTTTTTGTTTAAATGTCGAAAGTTTTTATTACATTTTAAACGTTAGTTTTGTTTTAGTACATTGTTCAACTAAATGAAAATGGGATGTCTTTGTGACTAGATGAAATAAAACAAGATGTAGTTTTTTTATTTCAGTTAATATTAAAGTTAAAAAATTAACCTAATTGCTTGTAAATTTCACAATTAATTATAAAGAAATGGCTAGTAACACTCTGAATTAAACATTAAATTTTGAAGTAGAAAGACTAAACAGTATTTTCTTGTAAAACGTACTCCAATAATCTTTGTTTTACTTACTGTGAAAATAATTTTTTTACAATGTAGTTTAAATGAGTTTTTATTTTTAGATTTTCCTTTTTTATTTTAATTTTAGTTAGTTTTAGTCATTTGTGTTATTTATTTTAAATATGTCTATATAGTTTTTATTCAATCAGTTTTAGTTTTAGTTATTTTAGTAGGCCTACATCAAGTTAAAGTAAATTAAAATGAGAAGTGTTTCCTTGGCAACTAGCTGAAAGTTTTTATTTTCTTTATATTTTCTTTTATTTCTGTCAAGGATCATTTTATTTCAAGTAACATGTTTCTTATGCTTTTAGTTTTGCTTAAATAACCCTATGAACTGACCAATACAGAGATGAGTCATGCAATACCTTTTTAAAGATATTAATATTTGTTGTTTGTTTGAAAGTTTCAGGAAACTAGTGTCAGAGTTTGAGCCTGAGGTGCACGAGGTCCCCAAACTGTTCCGGGGCGTCCTAAGAAACTGCCTGGATGAGCTTCAGGGAGACGCAGAGCTTCAGGATGGGGTGAACCGTTGGCAAAAACAGCGCAGCAAGAGCCTCTCCTTCGTCACGTTCCGATCCAAGTTCCGCATCCTGAACCGTGGAAAGGGAAGCTTCGGTGGTTCCCGCAACAACCTGCAAGAGGAAAACACGTGGTCTGATGAAGAAGAGGAAGCAGCCGAACAGGAGACAACTGCCATGCACACCAGGAGGGGACGGAGCCTCAGCATGCCAGAGATCACTCCTCTTGAGCAGGCGGCCCAGAGCTGAACAAGAGGAAGACGAGATGCAGAGAAAGACAGAGGAAAGAAGAATTTGAAAAGCTTGAAGGAAATGCAGCCTTCAAGGTAAGTTGGCAATGGAAGAGGAAGAAAAGAGAAGGTGGCAAAGAACAAGAGAAGGGAAGAAAAATCTGATTCTAGGAGACATCCTGAAAGACTAAAGCTTATGCTTTCAGATTGTAAGACAAACACTGTTAATTTGTTAATCAAACCAAAGAACACTGGTATAGGCATATGTAAGACACATACAGCCTAGTTGTTGTTTTTTTACTTTCTAATGTGTGCTTAAATATTTTGAATATTTTATATAAATGTGAATATTTGAAATAAATGTGTATTTTCACACATTGAGCTCACAAAACATGTCAAGAGTATGACCAGGTCATACATACAAAAAAAAGGGGAATTTATAAAAGGGGGGAACAAAATTATTTTTTTAAAAATAACTTTGCTTACAAAAAGTGGTGGAAATATTTTAGTGCAAATACACAATCGGTTAATTGTACATCATTTTAAAGTAATAATACTTTTTTTTTTTTACTATTTTAACAAAAAATTAACAAAATAATAATAAAACCCTCAAAAGATGAAAATTGCTGAATTTTTTAAACCTTGTCAGCTTAATTTCTATTATGCATTATGTTTTCTTTTCATTTTGGGGAAACATATTCTCACCATGTTTTGTGAGATTCGCTCCACAAAATCTCTACAGCCACAGCGAGAGAGAAAAAAAAAGCAACATTAGCCATAATCAGTTTCTCAGATGTGTTTTAATATGTACTGTTTGTCCTTACATTACAACAGTGCTCAGTTTATACAAGAGATGCAGACCATTCAGCTAAAAAAAAGCCTGGAAACAAGAGTCTTCATAAAAAGTGTTCATTAAATAATACACTGTACATTGTTCATGAGTTTGAGATTTTTGTGGCGTGTGTGGGAGAGAGAAAGTCTGTGATTTACCAAATGAGAGAGTTTGACCTTGAAAGCGCTGCTTCTAAATGAAGAAAACATCCATCTCTGCCAGCTCCCTCTCCTGTTTCATTATTCACAGCATCACAGCATGAAGGAGCTGATCTTCAGTTCTTTGTGCAGGTGGCCAATAGTTCATCAGGCCAAAGTTGCTCCTCACAAATGAAGGAAACGCATCCAGCGCTCATTTCTCCGAGTACCGATCGGTTTCATTACCAGACGTTCAGCTCTAGAACAACCAACACATGCAACTTCCTCTGCACTGACCTGGAACAAAACACGTTCTGATGTAATGAATGAGCAGTTTATAACTTTAGACCCATCTGGAATCGCTTTGTGATCTATTCAATTCTATAGTACTGTATAAAACACTGGTCTTCATTCGCACCTTGTTTATTACTACACAAAGCAATATCATAAGACCAGGCTACTTCCTCTAACTCCTCCTTGTATATTTGGCAGAATCAAAAAAAAGAAAAAAAGAAAAAGAAACTGAAAGTTTCTAAACAGTATATATTATTACAGACCCAATATTTACAGGGCCTGCAATCAGAAGGCCTTAACACTAGAAGGGAGAATCTCATGAAAATGGTCAGACTTATATTTCACCACCCAAAAAGGAAAATGTAGTCTCTATTTTTTTTTTAGGACCATTAAGAAAGAGAGAGAAAGAGAAAGAGAAAGAAAGAGAAAGAGAAAGAGAAAGATTATTATTTATTTTTTTCCATTGTGGCATTATTTTAATGACAACTAAGCACATTTCCCCCCAAATTCCCATGAATGTTGATAAATGTATAAATTAAATTATAAAATTATTTTCACATTTATAAGAACATTGGTGAGTATATAACATGGTAGCATTTGTTGTACTGAATTTTAATTTATACTGTAATTAATAATTTAAAAAAATCACGCTAGATATAATAATTATCATTATTATACAGCAATTTTTTGACATTACATATAAGAACTTACTCTTCATGAAAAAAATGCCATAATGGTCCTAAAATAGACATCACTTTTTGTATTAAAAATATAATTAATTATAAAAATACAATTAATTATATTATTAATTATAAATAATTTTTCCCTTTCAATTTTTTGGGAAAAATATGACTCTGATATTTCTTTGTGAGATTCACCCATAAATGGCAAATAATTGCCTGTCTTTGATATAAAAACACATTAATAAAGATTAACGGGGGAATTATTATTATCAGGCTTATTTTATGAGGAGAATTAGGTCACATTTAATTTACTGTAAAAATGTTATCTCTGATTACGGACAACACTGTCTGAGAAAAACAAACTAAACCAGTTTGGAGAATCAAACCACTTGGGGAAAAGCCTTCTCTTTTAATATGTGATTATTAATAAGAAATGAAGGCTCAAATATTAATGCAGATGTAGATGAAGCTTAAAGAGAACAGAGTGAATCAGAACACCCTCCTCTCTGTTTAAATACACAGTAAACCTCAGCTCCACCTTCATCAGCATCATCCATCTCCCTCCAGAGTAAGAGAGTCAAAGTCGGACAGTGACAGAATTAACATCTGACTCAAGATACTCTGACTAAAGTCATCCCACCAATAAGCATCAGAACCCCACCCCCACCCCCCCAAAAGAGTCACAAGTCCACTTGTGATTTTGCACATTCGCCCATAAGTCCATCCTCCCTCCTTCAAACCCTTTGGCTCCGTTTTCATCCCTCCTTATGCTCAGGGTCGTTCCTTCTCAGGCGAGGAAGACCACAAAAATGATAAAGAAGATGATGAGAACGAGGAATATCTTGATCATGAGCCAGCGATTGGAGGAGACGGATTGGAAGTACTTCAGTATCTCGGTGTGGGCCATTTCCACATTCAGCTGGGTGTCCTCCACATTGGCATCGATCCTGGTGGTCAACAGAATCAGACAATGAATATGATTTTACAGTCTTTGACAACAATTACACAACTACATCATGATTACATCAATCTTAATAAATGTTTTTACTTTTTTCACAAATGCACACAAAGAGCATGCATTTTTAATTTGAATGGATTTTTACTTTTATTTGATTAAATCATCACCTTTTGAAGTGTCACAATCACATTAAGCTATATCGCGCCTACTGCTTTTGTCTTCCCCAAATATAAGATCTCTTAAAATGATTATTAAGACTTCTGTTATACTATTTCAGTGTTGCTTTTGACAGCAAATTTTGATTTAGTCTTAGTCATAGTCTTTTGACTAAAATGCCATTTATTTTTAGTCATATTTTAGTCATCTGAATTGTTTTAATTTTAGTCGACTAAATATCATAAGATTTTAGTCGACTAAATCTACAGTAGAAAGTACAACTTAACACATTCTTCATTCTTTCAACCAGACATATATTTATATAAATAAATTTAGATTAATCCTTATTAGGGTTACTAAAGTCATTCAGTCAAGAGCAGTGAGTGATTTTCTCTCTTTCTTTTGTTGCTTGATTAACATTAATGACACATACAACAGCAACTAATTAGGCTGCTGTCCCTTTAAAACAGAATGCACAGGTGCATTATACGGATACACATCCGATATTCTCCCAACGGTTTACGTTCACTTAAGACGTAACCGAGTGTGTATTCACGTAACCGAGTACGTGAATACTCGTCAAAACAGACGATTCGACATCATTTTGTGTGTATTTCTCTGTTCATACGACGTGAAAGAGAACTGAATTCAGTCATGCGCTGTTTGCGAAGAGCTTTTCTGTGTGCGTGATTCGGGTGTGTGTGCTCAGAAAACCGGACTGAATTGAGTTCTCTTTTGCATCGTCATGCTTTTCAAATTTATCCACATCTCTGCTCTTCTCTTACTCCCTGATATTGAAATTTTTGAACTTTTTATGGGACGTGCAGCAAGTGTATGCTAGCTTATGTCCCGCCGGATAGATCAGTAGGCTGTTGTTACAGTTCAAATGTTCGCATCTAACCTCCCAACCACGCAGGAGATTCGTTCTGACTGGATCTCTTCCCAAATCTTCCCTCCCTAACATTTTAGTCTCATTTTTATTAGTTAACGAAAATGTCAATAGATTTTCATCATAGTTTTTGTAATTCAAAACGAGATTTTCTTTCGTTATAGTCTCGTTTTTATAAGTGAAAAAAATGTCGTTGACGAAAATTTTGACGAAAGTTATTCGTCAGTGAAATTAACACTGCACTATTTAAGATATTTTTATGATCTTAAATTGGGGGGAAACAATGAATGACTTTTTATTAGCATAAACACTCCTAAATAGATTTTTGACAATTAGCACACATCAACTTTTAGTCACAAATGCAAGTGAAACTCGCACTGACATCTATGCTGACTTGAAAAAAATACTACTCTGACTGTAGGCATTTGTGTGTGGTTTGTACAGCATGTACTGTTGAGTCTGTGGTTTTGCAGTATGTTGATTCATGTGGTGTGTATGCATTTGTGTGGTTGTCTGACCTCTGAATCGTCTCTTCCTGCTCTTTGACCATGTGCGCCAACTGCTGAAAAATGGAGCCCAACTCCACAATGGTGCTCTCGATGTTCTGCATGGTATCCGATCGGCTCTGTATATACGAGTCCTACGTATTTCATGATGAAAGCAGACATTCAACATTTATCATACATGCAAACCTTCAGCTACAAGCAGCAGTCTAGACTACAAACCATTCCAAATTTCCTGAGGGACTGATACCTGTTCATCGATGAGCTGCAGCTGCAGAGGGTTTGCTCTAGAGTCCATGTCGATGGCCACCTCTCCTCCAAGACTCCTGGACTCATCCTGCATCAAAACTGAGCTGTCTGCGAGAGCCAAGAAATTAAAAACTATTAAATACAAAATAAAGACACAAAGTGTGCATACAAAACCATAAATCATTTGTGGAATGTGACAAGGTGAATAATTCTGATTTTCAAATAACAAATGAAAAAAAATATAACAACCTAAACTATAAAACTATAAAATATATAGTTTATAATAATAATAATATACATAGAATTACAAAAATAATAATAACATTAATAATAGTATAATAATTATAATCAATTCAACAAATAAGTTCAATAAAGGTGCAGATTGTTATTACAAAAATTCTGCAAGAGAAAATCTCAAATATAAGGAAGTTTTAATTTGTTTACAATGTTTAGTCGCTACATAACTATCATACTACCATTATTTCATAGTTTTGATCAATTTACTACGTAGAAAATATTTATGAGAATGAGTAAATATGTCCAAAAGGTTTCTGCTGATGGCACTGGTAGTGAATGATTGTATTTGCACAGCCCAACACTATTACTACTATATATTAACTAGCCATAAAGCATAGTAGCTTGACTCAGTAAAATGAACTAACTGAAATTAAAAAGCTGGAACCTAAAGGGGTAATCTTTCAAATGTGTGAACCACTAAATGAAAATAAAATGAAAATAACAGTACAAAAGAGGTGACATACTGAAGTTATTGGCGAGCAGAGGAGAGGCCGTGACAGGGGCCTGGGAGAAATGCTCTCTTCTGCTGCGCTGCTGCTTCAGATTCTAAACACACAACAGGACAGATATGCCTCAGTTAAAACAATAAAGTAATGTTCGCTCATTACAACTGAATTAAATGTTATTTAAACAAATGACAAGACACTAGTTTGAAAATCAAAAGAAAGAGCAGGTGGTTTCATAGGACTATGATGCACAGTAGGATTGGGCCGATAGACGATGCCATCGTCCATCGCCGATGGCTGACAGACATCACGATGTTAAGCTGAACTTTTTAGTGGCTCCTTATAACACGTTATTTATTTCACGCTTCGGGCACACCCCTAACCCCGCCCCGCCCCCCGATGTCATCGTCCATCACGATGTTTCACTGTAGACATCGTCCGATGCCAATTTGGTAGACATCGCCCAACCCTAATGCACAGTAAGCACACTTTGTGTGTTTTTGCTTTGCTAAGGCTCCGATTAAATATTTAACACAGAACTGATGATGTTATAAAAGTGTGGCACTGATCATAAAACAAAAAAACTCACCTCTGTTCTCACTTCAAGGACTGACTTGAAATCATTTGACATTGATGCCAGCTTGGACTGCAACACAAACATTTACAGATAAGACTGTTTACAGCATGTACTACATCGCAGCAGGAAAATGAAAGGTGTGGTGGCTAGTCAAGTCATCTCATGTCAATCAAAATGAGATCAACCACCCCTACGGTCTAAAGCAAGGGATATTTGAGATAACGCTTCCTGGAGAGTGTGGAATATCTGTGCACTAAAGGAACATCAGATATAAGATTGTACCTGCAGGGATACAACAATTGTGTTGGAATGTGTCTGGATGTGACGGCCATTTTGCCCACTACGGGATCGTACGAGGTCTTGCAGCTGCGCAATCTGCTTATTCAGACTGTTGATGTCCTGATGAGAGACACAAACAGAGAGAGACGGTATATATCAGATCAGTGCAAGAAGTTGCTCTTACACAGTATGGTAGTTAGCTGAAGGATTCTGGTAAACAGATACCAAGACTCCTACAGGCAACTTCAACATCAATGTAAAGTGAAATAAGCAAGTACTGAAATTCATATAAATATGATTTCATATGACTGATATGGAGAATGACAACACAGACATCACTAACCTGTTTAATAATGTATGTTAGCTCCTCAATCTCCACTGCTTTATCATCGAACAAAGACTTCCTTTTGGCCACTAGGAGTGAAGGGGAGAATAAAAATTCATAATGACACCAGAGCATACAGTGTACTTTAGAAATCAATAACTCTAAGTCAAACATATTAGACCTCAAAGTAAACTAGGGAACCACCAAATAATGGACAAGACGAGCATCAGAACGGTTAAAATACTAATTTTTCCACCATCACAAGAGTCTAATAAGACAAGAAATAAGAGCATCCTTAAATCTATTTAGTATTACTGACGTGTTACTTACAAATTGTAAGCTTTTCAAGCTTGGCAAATGTGTTGCTCAAGTCTTTCCCAATTCTCCTGTTACAGAGAAACAAAACAAGATTTCAGGGGGGCAAAGTTTCGAGGAAGCAGGACAAGGTTCAGTTTCACTGAAGCGGGGGGAAAAAAAAAAACTGGGCAAAGACCAAATAGGATGGATCTGAACTCTTACTTGGCCATAAGAGTGAAGTCACTGCGCTGTTTGAGGGCATTAATTGCAGGTTTATTGTGAGTCCCATTCTGAAAAGACAGAAGAAGCAATATTTTTACATATACCAAATTTAATTTCCTCTCATAGAGGAAATTAAAAGAATAATTCAGCCAAAAATGAAATTTTGCTGAAAATGTACTCACGCTCAGACCATTCAAAATGTAAATGAGTTTGTTTCTTTATCAGAACAAATTTGTAGAAATTTAGCATTACATCACTTGCTCACCAATGGACCATCTGCAGTGAATTGAAATTGAAATATATATTATATATATATATATATATATATATATAAAATGGGTGGAGACAGAATGTTTAAAGGAATAATTCAGCCAAAAATGAAATTTTGCTGAAAATGTACTCACGCTCAGACCATTCAAAATGTAAATGAGTTTGTTTCTTTATCAGAACAAATTTGTAGAAATTTAGCATTACATCACTTGCTCACCAATGGACCATCTGCAGTGAATTGAAATTGAAATATATATTATATATATATATATATATAAAATGGGTGGAGTCAGAATGAAAGTTCAAACAGCTCATAATCAGCTTTATCCGCTTTTTGACTGTCATTCAGACAGTAGCCATTCACTGCAGAGGATCCATTGGTGAGCAAGTGATGTACAGTGGGGAAAATATTTATTTGATCCCCTGCTGATTTTGTAAGTTTGCCCACTTACAAAGAAATGAAGGGTCTGTAATTTTTACGGTAGGTTTATTTTAGCGTATAGAGACAGAATACCAACCAAAAAATCCAGAAAAAACAACAACACATTATATAAAGGTTAGAGATTGATTTGCATTTCAGTGAGTGAATTAAGTATTTGATCCCCAAGCAAAACATGACTTAGTTGGTGCAGAAACCCTTGTTGGCAAGCACAGAGGTTGGACTTTTTTTGTAGTTGGTCACCAGGTTTGCACACATCTCAGGAGGGATTTTGGTCCACTCCTCTTTACAGATTCAGTTTGTAAAGTTTCAGCTCCCTCCACAGATTTTCTATAGGATTGAGGTCTGGAGACTGGCTAGGCCACTCCATGACCTTAATGTGCTTCTTCTTGAGCCACTCCTTCGTTGCCTTGGCGGTATGTTTCGTGTCATTGTTATGCTGGAAGACCCATCCATGACCCATCTTCAGTGTTCTGGCTGAGGGAAGGAGGTTCTCGTCCAAGATTTTACAGTACATGGCCCCATCCATTTGCCCCTCAGTGCAGTGAAGTCGGCCTGTACCCTTAGCAGAAAAACAGCCCCAAAGCAAAGGATGTTTCCACCTCTGTGCTTGACTGTAGGGATGGTGTTCTTGGGGTCATAGTCAGCATTTCTCTCCCTCCAAACACGGCGAGTCGAGTTAATTCCAAACAGCTCAATTTTGGTCTCATCTGACCACAGCACTTTCTCCCAAGCCTTCTCTGAATCATTTAGATGTTCTTTGGCAAACTTTAAACGGGCCTGTACATGTGCCTTCTTGAGCAGGGGGACCTTGCGGGCGCTGCAGGATTTCAGTCCATTGCGGCATAGTGTGTTACCAATGGTTTGCTTGGTGACTGTGGTCCCAACTGCCTTAAAGGGTTAGTTCACCCAAAAATAAAAATGAGGCTGCGTTTTACTCACCCCCGATGCATCCTAGATGTATATGACTTTCTTCTTTCAGACGAATCCAGTCGGAGTTATATTAAAAATGGTCTTTGATC